TTTCTTTTCTGATGTGCGGGTTCAAATCCCGCCAAACGCCTCGAGTTTTTCCACAATTGGGTCAACTCAAATTAAGCAACTCTGCCAAACCTCCTAATAACTCGGGATAATTGTTTCAAGCCCGAATCAGGAGCGTCCGAACAATAAAAGTCCTCTTCCAGCGATCGTATATTCTCTTTCTGAGTTTCTTGTAAATAAGAAACTTACGCCAACGAAGGCTGATGTGTAATGGAAGCTGTTTTCTACTTTCCCATTTTGACAGGTTAAATTCGAGGGAGTTTGTTGACAAGAATGAGAGTCGAGTTTATGCACCCTTCCAAAGTTAGAGGGTTACACCTGGGCCTATAATGACATGTATGAGCGGTGCATAGTTTATGGTGCCGGGGATAAAAGTCAACATTCAAAGTATTTTCGATCTTCTGCAGATAAATATTCACGGAATCTGACCCAATTACGGAAAGGAATGATAATTTTCAGTTTCTGTTAGCGCTAAGCATCGGTCATGCAACTGTTTTATACAAAACGTTAAACGCTGGGTAACCTTTAGTGCCATATTAAATTTACGTATCATTATGCTGTGTTGCGTTTAATGCTACTGAAATCAAATGGCCAAAAATTGTAAGTCCGACAAGCAGACGACCAGCACCTGCGCACTACAACATCCGACCAGTCAGACAATTACTTCAAGACGTGCAACTGTCCGCGATGAATTCGGGAGCTCCTAGTTGTGCTTGGTATACAGTGACCTAGCAACTACGTCATGTAGATACTTCGACACTTCGAAAATCCAGTAATCTTCCCTGATTGCGTCTCGGATGATGGATTCGACAGTGAATCCGAAACAGTGAGCTATATAACGCTTGTTCCAGCAATCGCGTATCGTTTTTCGCAAGGTAAGTCATGCAAGCTGAAAATGTTATAGACTCATCCGAGTGCGTTTTGATGTCGCATTTTTAAATTTCAAGTTGATTTCAATATTGGCTGCATTTGAAATCAGCAAATGCTAGAAGACTGGAATTATTGCATTAGAAAGAGCTCCGCGGCCAGTAGTACATCAGGATTATTCATTGATGAATGCTCACCCGACCGCAAACGGAACTCATCTGTCCCGCTCTGCCTAGGTTCTCAACAGAGACCCTGACGGCCGTAGCAGCTGT